TTAAGCCTGTGCTATGACCCTTAGCTCTGGTAAGTACTCATACTAGAACATTACTGTATTTCTTTTTTTATTATTAGTTTTCAGCATGCCAGAGTAACTATGAGTTTTGTGTTATGATGATGAGTTTACACCTGATGATGCATAACCCATTGTTATATTTACTCTTAAAGGTACAATAAGTACGGTAAGTTCCTTCTCAGCCGACTGGGTAGCTGCCAGTTTTTCTTCTTTTATACAGGGAATAAAGAGGGATGTAGCCATTGTCTCACATCACTTTATCTGACTGTTGGTATAAGTTAAAGTCAAGGTCCCATTAGTCATCATCACACACTGGTGAAGTTAAATCTTGAGTCAACCCACAGACCAGCACCAAAGACCTGCAACATCATCTCTCTGCAGTTGGACTCACTTTGCATTGTTCAACTATTCGGTGCACTTTACACAAGGAGATGCTGCATGTGAGAGTGATGCAGAGGAAGCCTTTTCTCCACCCACAGCACAAACAGAGCTGCTTGAGGTTTGCTAAAGCGCATTTGGACAAGCCAGCTTCATTTTGGAATTAGGTGATGTGGACTGATGAAACTAAAATTTTGGGCATAACAAGGGAAGTTATGCATGGCGGAAAAAGAGCACAGCACTCCTAGAAAAACACCTGCTACCTACAGTAAAACATGGTGGAGGTTCCATCATGTTGTGGGCTGTGTGGCCAGTGCAAGGACTGGGATTCTTGTTAAAAAATGAGGGACGCGTGGATTCTACTCAATATCAGCAGATCAGTGACAAAGCTGAAGCTGCACCAGGTCTGGATCTTTCAACATGGCAAAGACCCTAAACACTGCTCACGATCTACCAAGGCATTCATGCAATGGAACAAGTAGAACATTCTGGAATGGCCATCTCAAGCCCCAGACCTGAATATTATTGAAAATCTGTGGTGAGTTTGAGAGAGCTGTCCATGCTCAGAAGCATCAAACCTGAATGAACGAGAGATGTTTTGTAAAGAAGAATGGTCCAAAACACCTTCAACCAGAATCCAAACTCTCTTTGGAAGCTATTGAAAGCATGAAGAGGCTGTTATTTCTGCAAAAGGAGGATCTACTATGTGTGTAAAGCTCATGAAAGACATTCATAAATCTGCACACATCCTAAATCTTTTAATAAATAAACTATAATTATGTGGCTAACGTGAGGCACACACATCCCTTTTAAGATAGCACAGCATAATTTTTATGAGGCTTGAATCACCATGTTGGTAACCATTCATTGATTCTTCCAGTAAAAGACATCTTGACTAGTCCCAAGCTTCTACAGGAAATGTGTCACTACTTTATACAGTAAGCCGAGACATCACATAATGCGGCAGCAAATCACAAAGGCATGGGTCTTGTTACGAAAACCCCACAGTCTCCCTGCCAATCTGTACCCCAGACGTTAGTCACAAGTTAGATCTTTGGTTCAAATTTACAGTGAGTTGATGAAAGAAATTAACCATATGTCATACTGGACATAAAAAAAGATCTCAGATTTCAGCATGACAGAGTTCTCTTTAGTTCTTGGTTTCCTGTTGTAAATACGTTTCACATACCTTTGTTCTTGACAGGGTCAAAATTGGGATTCCTAACCCAACACCTTTAACAAACACATAGTTGAAGGCAACAGCACCAGTTGTCTTATCTGATTTCACGACACTAATCATTACACTAGTTGACAAAAATAGAAGACAATTTTTGTTTAAAAAATACATTTCATCTGATGCAATCATTTTAAACTTTTATAAAGGAAATATTAGGTACACATAGTTGAAACTGTAAAGAATTATCAGGAAATCATGTTTCATACTTTGAATCAATAAAGCTCTATATTTATAATTATTTTAATATCAATTGTTGTAAAATACATGAATGCACATCAACAGTCTGAAATTGGGTCTCAAAATCATAAAGTAAACAAATCTGCATAATGTGCAGGAATAAAACTACAAAACTACAAAATGTGGTACTCAAATAGTGCAAGGAGGTCAACTAGAAGTAATAAGTTTTAAAGTTTATTATTAGAGTTTTTCTGCGCTAATTTGCCAAGGTGGGCTGCCTGAATGTTCCTTCTCACAAAACACAGCTAGAACACAGAACGCTGATCATATTGCCTGTAAAAGCGCCACGAAAAGAATCAGTAATCTACTCCCCTCCCACCCCCACTCTCGCCAACGCTACCATCGTAAATTTTGTCTGTTCTGTCCGTCTTTCCTGTTTTCAGATTGGATTTTCGTTACTGTATTACTCATCCATGGAAAAGTATTGATCAATATTCTTCATACTTAAGGTTTTACTGAAGTATTATTTTTAAGTTTTGTTTCGTTTTCGGCTGTAAAAATTCATTTGTCGCGAACCCCCCCCCCCCCAAATATTTCGTCTGCGATATTAACACTGGTATGAGATGGAAGAAAACAGCCAGGAACAACGACAAACTGCTTCAGATTTTAAGATTCAAATGCACATTACGGCTGGGCAATAAATAAAAAATGTATCGTTATCAAAATTTCTGACTCTTATCGAAATAAATTTTCCCATGTCAATAAATGTGATGATAAATGAAAATAAGTGTGTAGGTTGGCAACGATCATGTCCCTTTAAGAAGCTGTACCACCTTGAGTCACGTAAAAATTTTACTCAACGTGATACATGTGACAGACCCATCTAGTGGACAACTTTTATTTCAGCGGATACCTGTAGTTATCCTCCATTTATCGTTATTGAGGTGAAATCCTCAATATATCGTGATATTGATTTTAGGCCATATCGCCCAGCCCTAATGGACATCAATTAAAAGGCTTGTTTTTGAGGATCTTCTCATGAAAACCAGACTACATACTCTTTTTACTGTGTCGTGGTTCTAATTCCATGCTTTCGTTCTTTTTAAACACAGAAACAGTTTTGTTTACCTGTTTTGTAGCTACAGTTTCGCCGACGGCTGCCGGCTTCTTCAGGCTGACGCTGATGGTGGCGCGTCACTTCCTTCTCCATTTATCTGCGGGCAGCAGAGGACGTTGTCGCCCTCTACTCTACGGAGAGGGGAGAGCGGGCAGTAGAGGGCGACAACGTCCTCTGCTGCCCGCAGATAAACGGAGAAGGAAGTAGCGCGCCACCATCAGCGTCAGCCTGAAGAAGCCGGCAGCCGTCGGCGAAACTGTAGCTACAAAACAGGTAAACAAAACTGTTTCTGTGTTTAAAAAGAACGAAAGCATGGAATTAAGACTACATACTTATACTTATATATTATACGTATACTCCTTATACTTTTTATGATTCAGGCCTCTTCCTTGTGTCAACCGAATCACCACCATCGTTCTTTTAGTCATGTGTGACTCCTTTGACCCTTTATGTGCACCAATGTTCTCCAGAGATTCAGCGTAAACATTAAATACAACACAGGATCTATGTAGATAATAAGAATTGTTAGAAACATTTCTCTTTTATGCTATTTTCTTTCCCATCTGGTACCTCCAATAAAAAACCGTGGCTAAGGAACTGTGTCTAATCTCGAAGCAGTGAGTCTGTCCTCGTCTGAACTTTGGGTTGATGAAACAACGAGCACACAGCTGAGTACCACCGCTGTGCAGCTTCTCTCCTTCTCTCTTTTCCTCTCCCCCTCTCTTCGCTCGGCATTTGAAGACTTTGCTCTGCTGCTACCCGTCTGCTCACAGCGTGTCAACAAGTTTCATTTCAGAAGTGAAGGTGTCAAGTTGGACTAAATTCAGATCTGAGCATGTGAGGAGAGCACTGTTTGGAATTCACAGCAGATGAAGGCTAAACACAAAGGGGGAAACATTTACTTTAGGAGAAAATTCACACAAACAAGGGGCTGTAGCGTCTAAAAGGTCTGGACGTTGTTTTAATACTTATCTACAGTGCTGTGATAGCCTCGGTAACAAGAAAAATGTCTATGTCTTCTAAATAAATGTCTGATCTTTGGCATTGAGGAGCTGGAACATTTACAGAAATAGGATAAATGACTTTATTATGGGTAACATGATTGTCCTGCAGCACTTAGACAATAATAAAAAAGCTTGACAAGCCAGCTTTGATTGTTTTCCTTCTTTTCAGTTGCTCAGTTCACAAAGTTCTTTTAAATTGGAAACTATTTGGGTAAGAACACATGCCTCTAAACCCCTAAAGTGCTAGTTGTGTTTTATTATCCCTGAATATAAATTTAATAAGTTCTTTGGTGTTCACCGACTCTAACTTGTGAGTTATTATCTCTCCTTATGGTCTTTTTCTTCCCTTTCAGGCAGCTCTAACACATTAGGTGGTAAGCAAGTGTTTAGTCCCGAAGAAAAATAATAATAATAAAAACAACCTCTCACCACCCCCACAAACGCATTAAAAATGGAATTACAAAATTAAAAGTGGACTACTTATGTAACCAAGCTGTCTAGATTTGATGGTTTGAACAAGAAGTTTCTTGGTTCTGTGTGGGAGGCTGAGGACATTGACAAGTGCTTTTTCCAGACTGAAACTCATGGTGTGAATTTTTTTTTAAATATTTCATGTCAGCTAGAAAATACTGTGAAGCTTTGTTGGAAAACGAAAAGCATACTCTTTATTGCCACACATTTGAAAATACTGCATTTGTTTCCCGAGCGTTTTTCTTTAACAAGCACAATAATTTGAAGAATAAATATGTTGTAAGTAAAAGATATTCTGACTGTTCTTTGCTATGTTCGTTCTGTGTTTTCTGTTAGATTTCATTTTTTGTGGTTCCTCATTATACAGAGTAAGAGAAGTTTATTTTTACCTTAGCTGACATGTTTCTACATCTTCTGCCGCCTTTGTCAGCTATCTAGCTCTGGATATTTGTTACATCTGCCACTTGTTGATAGCAAGATAGTTCAGATTGAGCTGTATGCTTAATCAATCAATCAATCAATCAATCAATCAATCAATCAATCAATCAATCAATCAATCAATCAATCAATCATCAATCAATAAATCAATCAATCAATAAATCAATCATTTATTAATCAGGACAGCGCATGTTAACATCAGACATGCTGAAACATGCCAGAATTAGCCATCGGCTAGTTTTCATCTGTAGTCCTGTGCCAGTTGTAAATTCAGCTTTTTACAAAGGGACATAAAAACATTATAGAGTACATAAAGTATTCAACAATGCCGGATCACAAAAGCAGCATGTTTATCAAAGAGGCAGCAATTAGCCATAGTTAAAAGAGAATAATAATAAAAACAATAAAATAACAAGCACAGACAGTAAATGCAAAAGTGAAATAAGACTAGCGGATCAACACACAACAAAAACACTGTTTAAAAGATCCTATTTACGTTATTAAAAAAAGAGTAAACATGCTAGTAACGCGTATTAATAATAGTGAGAATATTTAAAGGAAAGTAAGAGGAGAAAAAGAAAAAAGAAACACGTGGTAATGACGGTAATCAGAGACGTAAGACCTACACATGTACAATAATAAAGGGTCACAAAGGCAGTACGAAACATATCTAACATACTGCCCTAAGAACAAACAATGGCAGCATGGGGGGTTTGTGTTGACATGTTTGATTAGTGATGAGCCAGTGAAGATGGGCGCAGAATAGAGTGTATGTGGAGATGTCTCAGATTGATGTTGGGATGTTGTTCCATTCCTGAGCTGCCCTAACACGGAACGATGACTGACCTAGTGTGCTAGGTCAGTCATCGTTCACCTTAAAGTGACAGCATGTAGTTTTTACCGTTAATCTCCGGAAATATACATCGAAACGTTTTTGAAAATGAATTAAAAGATGGCCAGGTGTTGAAAATATTGACAGTTTTGTGACATAAAACCATAAAAACCTGGTCTAAAATACATGGGAGGGGGTCTGAGCATAGAGATGAATGTGTAAGTGCCCCATTGAGTGCTGGAGAGTGTAACAGAGTCGCCGTCATATTAGATGGGTCTCCTCACTCTCCAAAATCAATGCAGAGTGAGCAACTATGCCCATTTCTGTGCAGCCTACAGTTACAAGAACCAGTGTAGTATTGAAAACAGATCACGTGGGATTATTAGTGACTTTTCTAGCCTGCCTGATAAGATTTAATATTTAATAATTTTGAATTTTGTTTAATTATATGTACAGTTAAATTATCATGTCAACCTTGTGTCTGATTTTGTGAAAAAACTTGTTGGGTGAGTAAATTCCTCTGTAGAAATGAATGCAGTTTGGGCAAATGAAGACCCATTTAAAATGGCGGCCGGCCATTACAGCACCTCCAATAGGCAGCGTCAGTCCAAGGGGCGCCTACGTATAGATGTCTGTGGGTCTAAGTCTCTGGGCGACACCATATTAGACGCCATGTTTCCTTCTACATGAGCCTATGAGGACAAAATAAATTTACTGATTTGTAAGAAGCGGTTACAAAATTTTTATCATTCTTAAACATTGTTGTTTTAGGCATGTACGTCTTTGCTCGTTACCAGTGATGAAAGGGAGGCTGATGTGCTGTCATTTTGCTGGAGGTTGAACGATCTGACAAAATATTTGTTGAACATATCCTTAAAAAACCAAGTTTGGACTAATCTCAGCCTAAAAATTACAGACCCATTTCTAAATCACCCTTTATCTCTAAAATATTGGAAAAGGTTGTGGCAGATCAACTGATTACTTTTCTGGAACTACACAACAGCTTTGATAAATTCCAGTCTGGTTTTTGTAAAAAGCATTCAACAGAAACAGTGTTGCTTAAAGTTTCTAGTGACATCATGATGGCTGCAGACAACGGGGAGTTCACAGTGTTAGTATTGTTAAATCTTTCTGCAGCTTTTGACACTGTTGATCACAGCACCTTAATTAACAGACTTGGTGACTCAGTGGGGATCTCTGGAACTGTTCTAGACTGGTTTAGATCGTACCTGTCTAACAGAAGTTACAGTGTCTGTATAAACCAAATCATGTCAGATTCTACCGATCTGTTCTGTGGGGTACCCCAAGGCTCGGTTTTGGGTCCACTGTTGTTTCTGCTATGCATACACCCTCTTGGACAGATAATTGATTATTTTCATAATGTCTCTTATCACCTATATGCAGATGATATTCAGCTGTACTTCTCCTTTAAGGATTCTAAGTTTTATAAACCGTCTGAATTATTAGAGTGTCTTTCAGCTATCACCAGCTGGCTAGAAGATAACTTCCTTCAGTAAAACTGTGAAAAGACTGAATGTCTGATCATTGCCCCTGAGAGCATATGGTTCCCCTGAGTAGTCCAAGACTTGGTCATTTATCCTCTACCGTCAAGGCAAACTTATGGAATTTGGGTGCTATTTTGACCAATCAATGTCTCTTGAAGGTCACTCAAAAAGGTTGGTCCAAAACTGTTTTTATCACTTAAGATATATCTCCAAACTGCGAAGGTTGGTGTCAAAACATGAACTTGAAATGGTCATCCATGCCTTTATCTCCTCCCGTCTAGATTACTGTAACACACTCTAGCGTGATACTTTCTAACCTTTTTAGACTAGACTAGACTAGACTAGACTAGACTAGAATAGAATAGAATAGAATAGAATAGAGTTCATTGATCCCACAGTGGGGGAATTCTCTTGCTACAGCAGCACATATACTTAGAGAAAAAGACAATGAAAATAATAAGATTACAGGTAAACACACAAAGGCAATAAGCTATTATTGTAACCTTCAACGACTAAAAACAACAAATTAAAAGAAAAATGTGTATTCCCACAACTATGCAGCATAAAAGACACAGACATTCTATTGTACATCCAGTATTGCACAAGTATTGAACACATACTGAGTATTGCACTGATGTTTTTGTATAACAGGATGATGCCAGAACCAGTGAAACTGAGGAGTTATATACTTTATTTTGTTGTTCATATTTAATGGAAATTTTATGTTAAAATCTTTACTAATGTGTCTATTTGTGACTTAATTTTTTTTCTAAATAGGAAACTATTGTAATTATGGTTGCCTGCAAGGACCTTTAACTTGATAGTTTTGGCACTCGTCTTTAAAAGCTTGTACACCGCTGCTTCAACAGTCTGTTGCTATTTTTCAAACAAAGCCAAATACATTAAAAGTAAACATGTGTGCAAAATGCTATACCCTTTTCCATAATGCTAAATTTTTGTACTGTAATATTTTACATCACTTTAATTTGTAAAATGAGATTTTTGTATTGAGCCCGGTCCTCTGCACTGATCGAATGACAATTTAGAGACTCCAACTCATCCAAAATTCATCATTTAAGACTAAATCTCTACATGATTGGTGAAAAATGTAAACCCCACAGACTCCAGCTTTTGATCTAGAGACCGACAACAATTTTACCACAATACCACCACACACAGCTTCTTTTTCTTCGCAATGCCACCCATTATGAAATCATAAGGTGGTCATCTAGGCTTATTTTCTTTTTAAATGGACAAGTGAGTGGTTCTGGACTGTGATACTCATGAGCTGAATCATGAAGTTGTATAAAACGATGGATAGAAAATACTTTCTGACTTTCACAGGAGAAGCTAACATTCTTCAGTGGGAGTCTATAGGAGATGGAGGTACTTTAAGAATAATCTGCAATCTCAACTTTCAGTGTTTGCTGTGAAGACAGTGGGCATTGCTTCCAGTGGCCTCTGGAACTGTTTCAGAATCTGTAACGAAAAGGTTTGAGTTTGAAACCAAAATCACTATAACCATAATTTTTTCGGTGATGATTATGATAACCCTGGTCCTCAGGACACACTGTCCTGCATGTTTTTCATGTTTCCCTTTTAAACACCAGTGTTTCCCTGCCGCCACACACCTGACTTAAAAGAATGAGTGAATAACAATTTAATGTAATGTAAATCAGGTGTGCTAAAGCAGAGACATGTAACACATGCAGGACAGTGTTCTCTGAGGACCAGGGCTGGGAAACACTGCATTAACATATGTATGCAAGTAACATGATACTGAACATTCAAATACATGCTCGTCTGTTTTTAACCAAGTCATGTTACGTGTGGTGTGTGTTATGTTTGACTGGTTGAAAGCTGTTTACTGAAACCTATCAGTCTAATTGAAATGTCCCAAATGACCATGCCATGACAGTAAAGGATATTAAATCATCTCAAATGAGCCTGGTAGCTCTTTTAGATTCTTTAATGTAATAAAAATACTGAACTTGTGCCCAGCCTTCATTACCTGTTTCATTGTCCACTTGTCCTCATCTGGTGGAGAATTCTCTTTCATTTGTCTCACCAGGAAGTTATGAGACACCTCAAATTCAGAGTCCACAGCATGAGTCTTGGTCAGGTTAAGTAAAGGCTTCACTTTTGTGACATCCAAGAATGTTGGCTGAGCAGAATCCAGGGCGACGAGTGCTTCCATCAGGTCACAGTTTTGTTTTCCGAATCGATTTTTCATTTCCCCGTATACAGAGTGAATGCAACTGTAATAAATCCTACGTAGCTTTGTTTCATCATTACAGTCCTTACGTGTGACGATTTCCTCAACCACATAGTCAGCAAGGGCAGAGTTTTGTATGAGTCTTCTCTTTGATGACCTTGTTGAGACACCATCACAGTGAGCGAGGATAGCCTGGAACTCTGTCTCAGTGCAGGTATTCTCAAGACACGTGCATGTACTGCTGATGAGCTGCAAACCTAGAAGGAGACAGCCCCCTTGTTGTTACTGTAAAGACCACAACTAAAACTACTGGGCAGCATTGCATGGCAACACAACAATCACATTCAGATATAAATTCCAACAATTGTAACACATATCAAACACATTTGTCAAATTTATATGACAACTTCAAAGTGATAACTTTTTAAAAGACACAGATAAATTCTATAAAGTTCAGATATGCGATTTTAAAATATTAGTTAAAGTTAGTTGAATTTGAAGAGACCACTAAAAGCAGAAAGCTACATTTCTTGTATCTAAGGTTCTATTCAGGTGTGTCCAGCCCTAGTCCTGGAGGGTTAACCCTATCCAGCATGTTTGAGATGTTTCCCTGTTTCAGCACACCACATTAGAATCAGTGGTGATTAACAAGCTTCTGCAGCCTGAGGAGAAGCTGAACAGGTGATTCAGCCACTGAAAATATAAAACATGCTGGACAGGGGATCTCCAGGACCAGGGCTGGACAGACCTGCTTTTTCCACTTTTACATTATAAATATAAAATGTGGTTTTGCTTGCACATCTTCTTTGCACTGCTTAGGATGAAAAATAAATGGATTCTTCCTTCACCTGTCAGCAGATCCATGTCTTCAGACTGCAAAAGCTTGTTTGGGGGATCAAGATATGTGAGGATCTTGTGCACCATCTCCGCTATAGACATGCTCTGCCACAATCCTGTTGCTTCGATGCGCAGATCTGCTCCAAGTGCTCTGTTGTTGGTGACCTCTTGGAACAGTGTGAATTGGTCATCAAATGATTTCAGATTGACTGAGACTGCAAACATACATTCTCATCATTATTAACTCAACAGTACTAATTAACATACCTGTTGCAAAATCTCCACTCCAGCGTTAGTCCAACAGGTGCTTGAGTGTCTCTCCTTTGTAGAGAATGGCAACAGTTGGTCTTCTGCAGAACTTGTACAGCATGTTGCACACACTGAAAAAGTCCATCACAGCCTTTTCCACTGACGGGGCATGGGTGATCACCAAATGCAGCTGATGGTTTTAACAGTGGACATACGGTATCTCTCTGTCCAGTTTTTGCTCAAGCAGCTTCTGACACCCCCATGTTTACCTGACATGAGCAAGGCACCATCATACACCTGACTGATGATTTTCTTAGGGTTCAGGCCAGCAGTGGTCAGTTCTCCTATGATGGTGTCAGTCAAAGTAGCTGCATCTCCCTGGTCAGCAGTGGCTGTGGTTAGGAGAAGCTCGGTTGGTTCACATTGTTCATCCAGAAAGCGGAGAACAATGGAGATGTTTTCTGTCGCTGTTGGATCTCTGGTTCCATCTGTCTTTAATGTGTAGAATGATTCACCAACTTCTTCCACAATATGCTCTCTCACTAAAGTACTCATTACATCTCATTACATTAGGGCAGCAGTAGCTCAACAGGTTGAGCGGGTTGTCCAGTAATCGGAAGGTTGCAGGTTCGATCCCGGCTCCGGACAGAGAATTCTGCTGTTGTGTCCTTGGGCAAGACACTTAACCCAGCTTGCCTGCTGGTGGTGGTCGGAGGGACCGGTGGCGCCTGTGCTGGGCAGCCTCGCCTCTGTCAGTGTGCCCCAGGGCAGCTGTGGCTTCATCGTAGCTCATCACCATCAGTGTGTGAATGTGTGTGTGAATGGATGAATGATACACTGTAGTGTAAAGCGCTTTGGAGTCCTTACTCTGAGAGGCGCTATACAAGTGCGGGTCATTTATCATTTATCATCTATTAAGTCATTTTGAATATCATGACATGTGTATGTGGCGTTGTGAAGAATAGTTTTTGTTATCTTTGCTAATTCTGTCTTTCCTTAAAGAAAACTCAAATAGAGACAAAAATAGGCCACATCCATCGCTGTTCATTTTACTAAATGCATCATGGTCACCTCTAAAGGGCAGCTGGTTCACAGCAAGGAACTCCACAACATCAATAATTGCAGACACATAATATCTGTTGCGCTGTAGTTGTTCAGTGTTAATTGTAGCGTAGACAATCTACATACTAGAATTTAACGCTGTTGCTATTCAGCTCTGTTTGATTCTGAGAAAGATCAAACAAATTAGCAAATGAAGCTTATATTGTTTATTAATATATGCACGGATATATTTATATAATCGATAGAAGTTCATACACCAACCGGCTTGGTCTATATTTGATCCAAAGATTAATGTTTAATTTAAGAGATTTAAATTAATAGCAAAAGCTTATTTATTCAATCAGAAGATTTTAAGGGAATCTTTGCTCGTTCAATAACCAAATATACACCATTCTGTGTTTCATTTCAAAGAAGAGTCAGGTTAAAAAAGTTAAGAATTTATTACTAACAATTTAAAGATGACAATTTATAAAACTTTGATTTTAAAACTTGGTATTAAAAGCAACCTGTGTCTGGATGAGAACTAAAATGAAATGCGTGTGTTGGATGTGTGAATGAGATCTCAGAAGGTTTCTTTCGGTGAGAGAAAACGCGTTCTGGGTGACAGAGTTGTTTTGCAGTTGAACTAAGTTATTTCTTAAAGGAACAGCATACGGACGCAATCTGTCGAAAGTGTCTACCTCACCCAGTTAGGAGACCCCCTTCTGGATCCGAGATGTCAGGTGGGATGATGAACCCCCAAGCACGAGGTAGGTAGAAGAACCTTGGTGCGACCGAATCGGTCCTAAGATGTTTCCAGGTCACAACGACTGATGAAACTGATTGCATCTCAAAAAAAAATCAACAACTCTGAAGGAGTTTTGCATCAGCTGGTTGTAGGTGGCGTTTATTGGAGCAATTTTTTCAGCGTGACAGAACAGCTTAGTGGAGGCTTCAAGCGGCCGTCTCGATCCTCTGGGACTCTCGTGCCACGGAGAGCTTTTTGGTGAGCTCAAGAAACTGAACTTGAACTGAGGAGTTTTGGTTTTATTAAAACCTCAGGACACGCCCTCTCAGAGATAGAAAGCTTTGGTTATGGAGCAAAGACATGTGTGGTGCAGTTACCTTTACCCTGATGTCTGTCCCCTGCATGGTGTGTATAAGTGAACATGACCTTCTGGTACTGTTAAACATTACTGATGATCATAAATAATTATTATTATTAACCAAAGAATAATAATTCATTTCAGTAATTAAATACATTTATGATTATTTATGATGATTATTTATGAACCTTGTAATAAACAGTGAAAAGAGTTAATTAAAAATGATTCTTTTAAAATCTTGAAGCGTCCTTCATCTTGCGGACAGAACAACAGTCAGATAAAAGGCAGTCAGACTAAAAATGGTTTAGCAGACTTTATGTCTCCTGTGATGGATAATCTGTGGATAGAAGTTCAGCCAGGACAGCGTGGCCTAGCTGGGGAAGTGTGACCTTTGGGTCACAAATGAGGCCATTCATGTCGCTACATAATTAATGTTGATGTTTCCTTACTCATGTGAACTCGCCTTTCCTTGTCCCTCCACATGGCTTCACAAGTCAAGTGTTCTTTGGATGCAGCATGTTTGTTCAGTCCCTTTCCACATTCTATTGCATGTTTCCAGTCACGAAAACCAGTTATACTGTAAGCTGCATCAGTGGGTCTGGGTCCCTGAAACATTCTGCATGGGTAGCAGAATGCAGCATCTGCCAGGGAAAGATTCCATACCAGGAACTGCAAAATGATATTTTTTTTTCCTGAGAAAATATGTGAAGGCCAGCTCTGCAGGACTCCTCTTTGAGGCTTTTCTGTGCCAAGATCACTTAACTGCTGTGGCCTGTTGTCCCTCGTAGCTGTAATGCTACTACGATGAATCTCTGTGTTTGTTTTGCAGATGAGGTCACTCACGTTGTTTATTCCAGAAGAGTTATGCTGCTCGGCACTGCTCTTTGTTCTCCATGGGTGCTGTTGCTAGCCCTCTTAGCATGATTGCTAACTCCAGCGTGGCTGCTTAAATCGGTGCTCACGTTTACAATAGACGTGGAGCCGATTGGCGCTTCTTCTTGCTTACTCCACCTCCTGTCTGCACCGTCATCGTCACATGTCCTTTTGGATTTGAGGAAATATTTTTCTATATTCATGTTGAACGGTAGAATGGCAGCGTGGCGGTGCTCAGCGTTCATACAAATCTTCTTCTATGGTGACTGCCCGGAAACCAGACTAAGAGTGACCCACCCCCTCTATCTGTGATTGGTTAAAATGTTGCCTTGTTCTCTGATTGGATTGCAGGGTTGACTAATCAATAAAACGCAGAAGTATGGAAACATCTTTTGCTTTTGGTCCAAGGCTGGCACAGCTGACTCCATGGGTGGACACAGACCCCCATTGTCCGCCCATGCAGTTGGGGCTGTCTGGCCCTCACGGTGTCTTCTGGAAAAAAAATCTGGTCCGTGAACAAATCTTCTTGAGAACCCCTGGCCTCCACTCATTTGAAGGAGCTGAAGGATGAAATCACCGACTGATGGTGACCTGGCTTAGTTGCTACTGGATGTATATGTAATTATATATATATATATATATATATATATATATATATATTTTTTTTTTTTTGTCAAGCAGTGTGGATCTTTTTACAAAGTGGCTATTTTTAGTATCAGTTGGCTTGTGTAAGTGGTAGCTTGCTGCTAGCTATAGCAGGCTGCAGCGGGGTTGTTTACGAAAATTACACTTTCAACCATTGGAAAAAGAAGCAAAAAACTTATGTAGTGTTGCTTTAAAGCCCTAAAACGTTTAAATAAAATATGTAACTATGTTGTGGGCAGCAGTAGCTCACAAGGTAGAGTGGGTTGTCCGGTAATCGGAAGGTTGCAGGTTCGATCCCGGCTCTGATCAAAGCATGCTGCTGTTGCGTTCTTGACACTTGACACTTAGCCCACCTTGCCTGCCGGTGGTGGTCAGAGTGACCGGTGGCGCTAGTGTACGGCAGGCCTCGCCTCCGTCAGTGCGCCCCAGGGCAGCTGTGGCTACATCATAGCTCATCCCCACCAGCGTGTGAATGGGTGTAAACAGACGGATGACTGATTGAGCTGTGAAGTGCCTTGTGGGGCTGTAGAACCCCAAGAATGTGATATACAAAAACAGACCATTTACCACATATTTTAGTATTTGAAAGCAACTTGTGTGAGACTAAATAAAATCCAAATTAAATGAAAACTTCTTTGGTTTACTTCTAAAAGATCAGCTATGATGCTGAACACACTGACGACCTACAGCTATAATAGTGTTTTCCGGGGCTTTCCGGTTAATGCTCTCAAGTCTCTCAGTTTGTTAACCTCCTCTGCCCTCAGCTCACCTCATGATCTCACCCTTTGCTGTTCTGCTGCACCTTCCTGTCCAGCATCACAAGTGCAGCCAGTTGATGCTTGTCCCACTGCTTTAATGGTATCCTGCTGTGACAACTCCGGGGTGGAAAACACATCCTATTAAACACTGGTGAGTGCACAATAACCTAATGAGGACAGGAGTCTTTGGATTTGAGGAAACACACTAATGCATTCCACTCTTACAAAACAAATAAATAAATGAAATATAGCTTTTATGCTCTGAAATACATATCAGTCAACTATTTTAGGGAATTTAGACGACCTCCAATGAAGTCATCAAAGTTATTGCTCCCAAACTGATCATAAATTTATTCCACCCAAAAACAGTTTGTAGCAGTGTCTTCAGGGGTTGGAGGACATTAACACAGACAGAAGGAGAGAGAGAGAAAAGTATGTCAAAGGTTTTCCCATACTTACTGGGTCTGCTCGCCATCTGTCTGGCATCAGCGAGCGCGCAGACGGACACTAGCTAAGCTCAAACGAAGCCACATGAGGACATCCCGCGACATGCTCACCATTATCATCACTCAGGGAGTGAAAACAAGGACAGAGACAGCTGGAGATGTAAGCTTGTGTGAAGAACTGCCAGGAAAACGTCAAAACTACAGATAGACAGTCTGTTTAAAAGGTTTTTGGAAAAAGATTCACGGATGAGTAAAATTCATTGTACCAAGAGCCCATTATGGATTAAAAGTGAAGTTTTTTCTTATTACCGCCAGGTTTTTCTTTCTATTTTTGTACAAAAGTATTTTGGTATTCACATATTTTTATCTGAGAAAGCATTCAAATCATGAGAAGCTGCCTTCAATTCATTTTTATTGAAGTTATCTTATTTTTTTTCTCGAGCACAAATCATACCCAGTGCTTTATATCTTTAGGCTGCTAATCGCATTTTGGATTTGGATTAACACTGAATTGGAACTTATTGGACATTTTTATATGTCAAAATTGCAAGTAAGTTGCAACATTCATGGTATGCATGCAAATGTACAACATTTCTTGCTGCAGTCTAGCCACACGTTTAATTTTTTTACTTATTTTTTTGTTTTGTTGTGCATTCCTTGCACTTGGAATGTGTGTGTGTGTGTGTGTGTGCGTGCGTGCGTGCGTGCGTGCGTGCGTGTGTGTGTGTGTGTGTGTGTGTGTTCCCGATAACTACAAGGATTTTCTGGAGGTAACTTGATTTGCAAAAAGTTTTTAAGCTCCACTCTAGATATGGGCTTTGCAACTTCAATATAAATGTTTCGAGACATTTTGGAAACTTCCTCACAAATGCTGTTTGCAAATGATTGCAAAACTCTGTTACCTTGGATCTCTGCTTTTGTGAGGTGGTACATCCTCCTGGTTTTGCATAAACTTGTGCAACACAGGCACGGCCCATCATGCCTGGTAATAAGCTCCACGACTTAGAAATGTTTCGAGAGCCAGGGCGGAGAGTGGGAAAAACACAGAAGAAACTCTTATTTTACATTATGTTTTAGATATTAGATGACCTTCATTTTGGAAAACCCTTCCCACCCACTGCATTCCACTGTTGAGGCTATGGACAGCTCCTTCAGAGGCATACTGAGACATGCAAGATGTAAAACAAAACGCTACAGTAGGTCATTCATCCCCTCTGCAGTAAAAGTGTATACCTCCTCAATTTAGCCTGTGCTTGGATTAGCCGCGGTCATCGGCCACTTTTTCAAACTTTTCTCCACTAACCTCCTCTTTTCCACCTTGCTCCTGTCTGCGATCCTCTTCAGTAGTGTCCCTGCTACCATCTCCTATGATCGCCAGACTCTATTGTCCTTCCGTTCGTTCACGATCGCCCAAGATGCACCGAGGACGTACCTCTCCGGTTTGTTTATCTGAGCGGCGCACTGGCCCAGAGCCAAATAACGATTCTAACCAGGGCACCTCCAGCAATGTTTATCCGGTCCCGGGAAAACGTCGGAGGAAAAGAGGTAAATGAGCAGGAATTCAGGTGAGAATAAGACTTCTCTTAAAACGTGGTTTATCTAGTAAACTTCGGCGTGATCTTCTAGCTTCTTGTCCTTTGTTTGGCGACTTGAGCGCCACTTCTGCATTCCCGCCAGGCCGCGTTGAGGCGCGGTTTCTCCGTCCAAGTTTTTTAAGGTCTGTTTATCCTCACTCTTCAGTGGCTTCTCCTCCTGTTCCCTCCATAAGTGGTTTTTATAAACACCGTGGATCTAACCCTGCTAATTTACGTCCACTAACTCCAGCTGTTTCTCTACTTTCTGATTCCTCCACCTCACTCAGCATGGCTCTATTAAACACCCACTCTGTTAAAAATAAGTCCTTCCTGCTCAATGATCTAATTCTCTCTAAAAACCTGGATTTTCTGTTTCTGACTGAAGTTTAGCAGCAAACATCTGATTATTCTGCTCTGATTGAACTCTGCCCGAGTAGTTATTCTTTTCTTAGCCAGCACCGGGGTTCTGGTCGTGGTGAAGGCCTAGCTGTTGTTTTCAGAGACCATCTTCCATGTAGCTCTACAATCTCTGGTCACTTTGCTTTCTTTGAACTGCAGCTAATAAAAGTCGGGCGTAAGGACCTGTTCTACTGTGCTGTGGTTTATCGTCCACCTGGTCCAAACAGTTCTTTCCTTCAGGAGTTTAGTGACTTTCTATCCTCCACTGTGAAGCTGTCCAGACTGGTGATTGTTGGTGATTTTAACATCCACGTTGATGACCCCTCTGATCACTTTGCCATGAATTTCTCCAGCCTTATGGACTCCTTCTGCTTTATCCAGCATGTTTCTGGCCCCACACACACCAGGCACCCGGGCACACTCTAGACCTTGTTTTTACCCTGAGTCTAAATGCTGACAGTGTTTGTCCTGAGGACGTTTATATTTCTGATCACCATTGCATTTTCTTTAACTTGTCAGTTTCTGCGTCCCCACCTCCTGCTCGCCGTTTGGTTAGTTCTCGTTTTCTTAATGAGAGCACAGCTAGCAATTTTTCTGCTGCTATTGATCCATCCTGTTCTTCTGATAACGACACAGATTCTTTAACTTCTCAGTTCAACAAGCACTGCCTCTCCATTCTGGACAATATCTGTCCTGTCAGAATCAGATCAGTTCCTGCAGTGAACCCTACTCCCTGGTTAAATGACAGCCTTCGCAGCCCAAAGTGCCAATGCTGAAAAATTGAGCGCTTGTGGAAGAAAACCCATCTCCACGTCCATCTGCTGCACCTAAAGGATCTTCTGACATCCTTTAACTCTGCAGTCAGAGACGCTAGGGTTTCCTATTTTTCCAACCTGGTGTCCCAGAGCAAAGGGAACCCCAGGGTGCTGTTTATCACCATCAGCAGCATCGTCTCTCCTGCCTCTCCTACAGCCTCCATCCACTCTGTTGCAGACTGTGAGAACTTTCTGTCTTTCTTTGTGGACAAAGTCAAAAAGGTTAGATCTAGCACCTCTCCTTCAGCCTTATCGCTGCCTCTCCTGACTCCATCCAGGCCCATCATCCTAGATAGCTTTGCTCCTGTTTCTTTGCCTGAGCTAACCAAACTAGTTAACTCTATGAAGACCTCTGCATGCCCCCTCGACATCTTACCCTCATCTTTGTTTAAAAGTTATTTTCAGACCATCGGTCCCAGCGTGCTCTCTATAATTAATGCTTCTCTGGTTTCTGGTCAGGTCCCTGCTTACTTTAAGAACGCTGTAATCCACCCGCTTCTTAAAAAACCGAGTCTTGACGCCTCTCTCCATAGCAGCTTCAGACCCATCTCTAAACTTCCGTTAATCTCCAAGATCTTGGAAAAGGTTGTGGCTAAACAACTCACAGCTGCTCTTGATGAACATAACATCTATGATAGCTTCCAGTCAGGTTTTCGTAGAGCTCATTCTACTGAAACAGCTCTTCTTAGGGTCTCTAATGACTTTCTGACTCACAGTGATGCAGGAGACTGTTTTGTTCTGGTCCTGCTGGACCTGACTGCAGCCCTTGACACTGTTGACCATCACCTGCTACTGGAGAGGCTGAGAGACTGGGTAGGCCTATCAGGATCTGCTCATGAGTGGTTCTCCTCTTATCTCGCTGAGCGCTCCTTTTCTGTGGCCATCTCCAACTTTAGGTCCTCCACCACCTCCCTTACCCATGGTGTCCCACAAGGTTCTGTGCTGGGGCCTCTGCTCT